TGGGGCCTCTCTGTGACATATGTTTACAGATCTGAGTGGATAAGCACCATGGGATAACCCGGAGAAAATGAAGCAAGCAATGCATGGAGAGAGAGAGAGAGAGAGAGAGAGAGGGAGAGAGAAAGGGACAGACAGACAGATAGGAAGAAAGGAAGGTAAAACAAAAGGAAAGAAAAGAAATAGATAATAACAAGGGCCAGGGTCTTATCAATGCACATGTGTGCATAGTACAGCAATGCAAGATTGGGTAACACAAAATTTACCAATTTTGTTTACTTTTTTTGTCCGGCCTTTTCAGGACTCATAAATAAATCCAGAAGCAGTACTAATGGAGAGTGAGTGTATGATCTGCACAAAGGAATATTTTTTATTTATTTTTATTTATTTCAGGTACGTACTGTATATAGCGCTGTCAATTTACGCAGCTTTACATATATATTGTACATTCACATCAGTCCCTAACCCTCAAGGGGTGTACAATCTAAGGTCCCTAACTTACATTCATACATACACATACTAGGGCCAATTTAGACAGGTTCCAATTAACCTACCAGCATGTCTTTGGAGTGTGGGAGGAAACCGGAGTACCTAGAGGAAACCCACACAGGCACAGGGAGAACATGCAAACTCCAGGCAGGTGGTGCCATGGCTGGGATTCAAACCAAGGACCCTAGTACTGCCAGGAGGAAGTGCTAACCATTTAGCCACTGTCTACCCATAACAAGATGCTCTAAAGCTGACCATATACCAGTAGAATTTTGTTTGAAAATACTTTAAATTTCAGAAAGTTTGTTTGGTTTTCTAATAGTTAATGACGTAAAATTGACCATAGTGATGAAAAACATTGAAGGAGAAGGATGGGAATTTTTTCTAGAACAAACAAAATTTTAACAGTGGTTTTCATTTGGGAAATTCCATTCATTTCAAAATTGAATGTTAAAAGCAAACAAAATGTTGAAGTACTTGTACTTGTCAATATGGCATTATTGAAAGTACTGATGAGATTTTTCTGGTTTTCATTTTTACATTTGCATACTGGATTGGACTGGATATCTGCTTTTTTTATTCTTTAGCTGTATAATTGTGACACATCAGGATTGTAGACTTGTAAAATAATTGAGAGAAATGAGAGGTCCACTTAAAAAATGAACCTTTATGACTGGTGATTCCCTTGAGGAAATTTGCCTCTGGTGAATGGTGTCGCAAAGAGAGAAGATATTTGACCAACCAGTACCAATGCAATACTGAAATACTGAAAATTTGAGATGACACATCTTTTAAACATTTGTAGCTTCCTCTGATCTAAAGCTAGCATTATTAATAAATACAGCAACAATAGTGGGCAAAATATCCTTAATCATTAGTAAATTCATACCTGTGGCTTCTTCTTGTTTATAGGAGGAAGGGGCGATGTTGTCGGAAAGGAAAACGGATGCCTACAGTCTGACCAATCAACAAAGCTGTCATTGTCATTACTCTTCTTTGGAAGGTCTCGATGGCTCAGTGGTCTGGCTCTCTGTAGCCGGAACTCCATCTCATCAGGATACTGTCTATACGGTGAGTTAAATACACCCGCCACCTTAAAATAATATAGAATAATAATAAAGAAAATGAATCTCGGGTGAAAAAAGGAGGTTATGAAAATGTGAGAGGAAAGTGTGACTGTATTTTCTGCCCCAGTGAACCGTGTGAACATTATATGGGTGCTGGATCTATGAAATCTTTTCCTCAGACAGGGATGATGTATGAGATTAATGGCTATGTATTTTTGGAACATGACAGAGCTTGGCGTAAGGGGACAACATACAATTTAAAAAATTTTTTATAGACATTGCATAAATTATATGCAACAACTGAAAGTGGCATGAAATGATTTAGTCTAAAGGAAAAGAAATGAGAAAGTCCCACTTGTAATGGACATGGCTTGTGGATGGACTTATGAAAAGCCCACAAAAGGGGGAATAATTTAAAGGGAATCTTTGATGAGAGAAAAATGTAAGCTGCCATTGCTGACCTTCTTTTGGAATTCAATTTGTCTGGCTGTCATGCTCATTCAGTGGCTTCAAAGTCATTGATCCGGAACAAGCATACAAAACACGTGTTCTGACTTTGCTAACTTTATGACCGATCTTGGCCATGACAGTACGGAAGCTGCAGCTAAAGACCATTGCTCTTTGATTGAGAGCAGCAGTCTCTGTACAGAAGTCTGACATGCCTCCTGACTTGTCATCACTACAGCTGTGCAATCAGCAATGATCATGCTCCCTGCTGATCCTTATGACAAGGTAGGGAGCATGCTGGATGGCTGTACAGGGAACAGCAATGGTCCTTAGTTGAGCCCTCCAGACAGGCTTTGGATTTTTCTGCCGGAGCTGTGGAAACTTCAGAAACTAAACCAACAATAACAGTAACTGTTTTCATTTCACTTTATTGTTTTTCTTTCAGAGTACAATTTGACTTTTATAAAAATAGGATAAAACAAAAAGCAGAAAAGTGGGCATCACCCAAAATGACTTCTCAAGTTTGTTCTGAGGGAAACTGAAAAAAGGAATCTGGTCACTATGGTTAACAACTTCACTTTTGCTACTTTTTTTCTACATTTGTTTGGGGGATGGGGAAGGAGCTGTCATTTAGACGTCCCAGCCAGGGATGTCTATTCTCCAGAAATGTACAGATGAGTCACAGAAACTTGCAAGTTATTGAAGACTGGCCATGAAAAAAAAGGCTTAAAGGAGAAGTTTAACCAAAGCTATTTTGGCTATATATTTTTCTTAGGTATCACAGCAGTGCAGTTCATTCTGCACTCCTATGTCCCATTTTCAGCCTACTGTGGGCTAAAGCCAAACTTTAAAGTCAGGATGCACCCAGATGCCTGAATCGCTGAGAGCCTGAGCCAGCTGCTCCCACCTCCTCCACAGCCTAGCACTCAAGTGAGCACTGGAGGGGTAGAGCAAAGAGTGGTGACTGACAGTCACCACTCTTCGCTCAAAGTGGAGGGGAGAACTAAGTGATCAGCAGTGTTTGACCGCTCAATTCTTGGTCTTAGAGATAGTGGGGAACAGATGCAGCATTGGATCGATGCTGCATCTACCTAGGTGAGTATAAATGTTTACATTTTTTGAAACTAATACTTTTTTTATTAAATTAAATTACAGTATATTTTCAGTTTGACATTTCACATGTTAGGCACTGCAATTGCCCTTCTTGTTGATAAACTGCTGGGATACAAATCTTACACATTAAAAACAACCTAGACAATTCACTGTGCAGACACCATAAAAATTAAATTTTAAGAATGGTAAAGATTTTTATTGTTACATGTGTAGGTATGATACAAGGGCTTTCTTTCAAAAATCTCAAAACATGAGTAACTGACTTCCACACAAACTTGTATATTCAGATTCACAGTTTGTAAAAATATGATCCATAGATTTAGGGCTCATCCACTCTGTTGTATTTTGGCACATTTTAATTATGCGTGTTCATTTAATTTGAAACTGCTGGCAATGCACCAGTCCGCATGCAAAATTAGACATGCACCTTTTTTTGCAACTCAGATTGCCACAATGCACCATACAGTGTTTCAATGCATTATGGGGCCCTGTCATGGTGCATTTGGGTGTCATTAAGACTGAACAGAACTACACTGTGTGCACAATTATTATGCATTTAAGCATATCAGGTGAGGTGTATTTGTGTAATGAAGGAGGGTGTGGCCTAAGGAGATCAACACCCTATATCAAGGTGTGCATAATTATTAGGCAGCATTTTTTCCTCAATCATAATGGGCCAAAAAAGAAATTTAACTGTGAAAAAGTAAAAAATTGTAAAAAGTCTTTCAGAGGGATACAGCACGCTTGAAATTGCTAAGATATTGGCGCATGATCACAGAACCATCAAATAGTATGTTGCAAATAGTCAACAAGGTTGCAAGAAATGTGTTGAGAAAAAGAGATGCAAATGAACTGCCAAAGATTTGAGAAGAATCAAACATGAAGCTAGCAGGAACTCATTATCCACCAGTGCTGTCATATTCCAGAACTGCAGCCTACCTGGAGTGCCCAAAAGTACAGTGCTCAGAGACATGGCCAAGGTACGGAAGGCTGAAACCTGACCACCACTGAACAAGACACATAAGTTGAAATGTCAAGATTGGGCCAAGAAATATCTGAAGACAGATTTTTCAAAGAATTTATGGACTTATGAGATGAGAGTGACACTTGACGGACCAGATAGATGTGCCTGTGGCTGGAACAGTAACTGGAACAGAGTTCCACTTCAACTCAGATGTCAGCAAGGTGGATGTGGGGTACTGGTATTTTTAAAGATGAGCTAGCTGGACCTCTTCAGGTTGAAGATGGACTCAAAATCAACTCCTAAACCTACTGCAAGTTTTTAGAAGACACTTTCTTCAAGCAGTGATACAGGAAAAAGCCTGCATCTTTCAAGAAAACCATGGTATTTATAAAGGATAATGCTCCATCACAGGCATCATAGTACTCCACTGCGTGACTAGCCAGTAAAGGCCTTAAAGATGCAAAAATAATAATATGGCCCCCTTCCTCATCTGACTTAAACCCTATTGAGAACTTGTGGGTCCTTCTTAAATTACGGTAAAGGAAAACAATACACATCTCTGAACAGTGTCTGGAAGGCTGTGGTTGCTGCTGCACAAAAAGCTGAACGTCAACAGATCAAGAAACTGATAGGCAGGATGAATGGAAGGCTTATGACTGTAACTGAAAAAAGAGTGGCTATATTAGTCACTGATTGTTTTATTTTTGAAATGTCAGAAATGTTTATTTGTACATTTTGAACTGTTGGTTTATTATTCTCACTTTTAACAGATGAAAATAAACAAGTGAGATGGGAAAATTTTAGTTTTTCATGTAGTTGCATAATAATTCTGTACGCTGTCATAACGGTGCGATTTCAGGTGCGATTTGCAAGTTGAAATCGTACCTGAAATCACATCTAATGAATATGAATGTCAGTGTCTTAAAGTGTTACTAAACTCACAACAGTAAAATCTGTCTGTATATACAGTAAAGCATGCTTGTTATGCTCAATGTGAAACCTAAGGGGTTAATCCTCTGCATTGTTTAAAAATGCTGTTTGATCCTGACTTCTCTGATCCTCCCCTTCTTCCAGTGTCTCCCTCTTATCTTATGATAAGGCATATCGTGTGGAGACACTGTACATGCTCAGTTTGGTGTGAATTGAGAGGTTTTTTTTTCTTGGGAGAGTGCATGTGATCAGCACAGGGCCAATCAGCACTGGAAAAACAGAGGTCAGTGGTTTTGCATCCTCCTAGAGCAGAATGAAAACTCCTCCTACAAGCTTTAACATGTGCTCTGCTGGACACTAATAGAAGTCACAACACTGCTATATACTGATGATGAGAAAAGGTATTTAGCAGTTTATATTTACTAAAATAATTGCATTTCCATGTTCTGTGTACTGTGGGAGACCAGATAGAGTGAATGTAGAGTCCTGGATTTAGTAACACTTTAATATCTGCTACTTGCTGCGGCGCAATTTCTAAAGTAGTTCTTGCATTACTTTTTCTGCTGTTTATTACAATTTCACATACATAGAATATAATGGAAATTGCACTGCAAATCACAAGAAATCATTGAAAATCCCCAAAAAGTCCCAATAAAGTCTTCAGAAATCGCACCTAAAATTGCGCTGAAATATCACACAAATCACGCAATTCTAAATCGTAGCAGTGTGATCGGTAACTAATAGATGCCCAATATTTGTGCACACATGGATATTCACCTAAGAAAGCAAAAACCTCACTTTTACTTTCTTAAAAATTCAGATTTTAAGTTTATTAACATTTTGGATTGAACGAGAGAACTGTAGATGTTCAATAATGAAATGAATCCTCAAAAATACAACTTGCCTAATAATTGTGCACACAGCGTACACTGCATTGCAAAATACTTCACCAGAACAGTATAAATGGGCCCATCATCTAAAAATATTGATGCCAACTTCTTCATCGCATTGTACTACTTTCTTACACCTTTCAAAGTGATACTGGCTTTAGTATCAAAAGAGCAAATGATAATCGTTAGGTTCATGTCTGGGAGGTAGGCAGTTAGGTGTAGGAGTAAATTCAGGTCAAAATTTATTCACAGGGTTTTGGCTAATCCTAATAGTTTTCTTTACGGATAAATTTGGGAATAGGGGTTCACTCGTAGTAAAGGATAACACGTTTACTTAGTATTAGGTTTTTGGGTCTGATATATTAGTTATTAGGTGTGACAAATTAGTTTTTTTCTTTAACAAACACATGGGTTTCAAAATGGACAGCCCCAAAACTACCATTTTAGCACTCCAAAAACGAATATACTAGTTGTCAAATGAACAACTTGTTCCAGCCAAGACATACACAGAGGATAAAGGTTCTCTGTCCTATATGACCACATCCTGGAATACATATAATACAAAAGAATTCTTACACTAATTGCCTTTCAGGCTAGTCAGCATTGCCTCACTGAGAAGGCTGATGAGTGTCTTGGCTGGAACAATAAGACAAAAGGATTCTTGTAGCAATGGATTTTTTATTCTGGGCATATAGTAAATTGTACCACAAAATAAATTCATAAAACTATAAAGTTTATTATATTAAAATTGTATATAGCACCACATCCAATATTTACGAAGTAGAGTTCACAGATCTCATTTCAATTCAACATTCACTTGTTAGCTCAATGCATTTAGAATGCTTCAAACATCTTCATCCACATGTTCTCCTGATGAAGATGTTTGAAGCATTTGAAACGCGTTGAGATAACATGTAGATGTTGAATTGAAATAAGATCTGTGAACTCTACTTTGCAAACATTGGATGTGGTGCTATATGCAATTGTAATATTAGTACAATAAACTTTATAGTTTTATGAATTTATTTTGTGGAACTATTTACTATATGCCAAGAAAAAATCCATTGTTACAAGAATCCTTTTGTCTTATTGTTCCAGCCAAGACACTCCTTCGTCCCATGCCTTCGCAGTGGGGCAATGCTGACTAAACTGATTGGTAATCAGTGTAAAATCATCAAAGAAACACCACACACCTCCTCTACTTTTTTTTGCTACAAATGTTCAGAGGTATGTAATGTAATGGTATTTGGGGTCAATTTATATGTCCACAATGAGCCTGCATTTAACATGCCATGAAGATCGGAGTGTTCAGCCTTGTCCCTTATCCCATGGAGTTCTCTTTGCACAACACTGAAGAGAGAACTATGGAATTGGGGGAAATGCTAGTCACATGATCAGGCTCTCCTTCCCACAATAGGTCCATGCTGCATAAGCCAGCCATACACTTTATATAACAGATTCCTCCATCCAAGCAAAGGGGATAGAGGAATCCCCCTGCCTGAACACTGTATTTTGACAGCAGCTTGTCCCTTCAACAGAAGTGGACCAAACAATCAACTTCTGAAGAGTGGGGATGGCCATACACTGATCAAAATTTGGCCAGTCCATGATGAACCAGACGAAATTTCAATCAGTATATGGCCAGCTTTAGTCACTGATATTTACCATGATTCTTTGATTGTTATGAATGACATGAAAGAAACCTGTCATGATAGAAACGCAGGGGCCTCCATTGCTGAACCACTTTGAAAGCTCCAAAGTCTGGCTGTCATAATTGCTAGATGAACGAATGGGGACAAGTAAACAGATCAGTAGCTCTGTCTTTCAGCATCCTTGTGCTAAGCCTGTAACTCAAAAAGTACTGAGTTCAGGGTCTGCTAGACAACTTTTTTTTCCCATGACAGGCGAGCATTCATGCTTTCTGTATTGCATGGTGGCATATGTTGATGTGACAAGAATAATTTAAATAAAGTGCTCTAGGCTGCTTTGGGTGATCTGTACTGCCAGTGGAATATGTTAGCATTTTAGGAAATAGTAAAACAAAAAGTGCTTTTAGGCTGATTGGGGCTCTCTTTTCTGCCTGGTGGAATATGTTGACATAAGTATAAGAATAAGTAAAAAGTAAAGTCCATTTAAGCTGCCCTAAGCAGCCATAATGTGAACTGCCAACGCAGTTACTGCTCCATTAGGGTCAATGCCCTCTCATTTCTAACAGGCTGATTTGTTAAACCACCGCTGAATGCCTCACAGGTCGATCACATTAGGGGCAAAGCAGGGCAGGTGCCTGCCTGCATGCAGTTTCCGCATTAACATTTGCGAACAAATAAAAAGAGAAAGTGTTCACAAAACTTCTCGGAATCCGTCATCTCTATTATTTTCTTTTGACACTAATCCTGTGGGAGCCCGACACATTACTCAGGCCCAACACATCTTTTATTTTTTTTCAACTTATGAGGCCCCTGCTAGTGACATGTGCTGTCTGGGACTTCATTTTCTCCTGCAATTTTCTGAAGTGACAAACACTATGGGGAAATCTGGGCTAACTGTTAAAAAAACCTACAGCGCAGTTATTCGCGGCACTGTCATGCTAACCTGAAGCTCAATAAGTAGCAGGAAGTCTCGGGAGGGGATCCCTGCTAATAGCTTTTCACTGACCTTCCTCCATCAGGCCCCACCGTTGACTGCTGGGCCTGTGGTGAATATGGTAAATGAGGTGTGAAACTGCTGTTTTTTTTAAAGGCCATATTTCTGACATGTCAGAAAATGAGCTACGCATTAGATATACTTTTTTTTCCCTTCGTCCCTTTTTTTTCCAAACAGAATCCCTTTTCCTTAACTAAAAGCGTGCATACGTTCCATCATGGAAAGCCATGCATGACCTGGGATATTAATTGTGCCAGGTCATGCACACTGGCAAACAATTTATATTTTTGATCGTTTAACATTTCCAACAATTCGAGTCTTTTTTTAAATGATAGTTAAGCATAACCTAAAAGTAGGCAATTGACCACTTTAAAAAAAACAACCAAAAAACAGAAAATGTTGATGAAATATGAAGGAACATCTTATTATTTCAATACATATACAGTATATATATTTTTTTACCATTCGTACACAGTTTTTAAGTGGACCTGAACTATGGTATGAATGAGGTTAAAAACATTAAACATTTGCGATGTTATAGGGAACATATACAATTTTTTTTCAATAATGTTTACTGGCTTTCATATAGTGCAATACATATTATGCATCATACTCAAGTGAAGTATTGCATCAACAAACCGGTAGAAATCCAGCTGTTATTATTATTATTATTATTATTATTATTAATAATAAAAAAATACAACCTTTACAACACTTAAGAGCTAATCTCCATGATTAAGCCCAAGGCATGAGGCAAAACATGTTGGAGGATGAATCAAGCTGTGGCTGCTATTATTAATATTATTATTATTATTATACAGGATTTATATAGTATCAACAGTTTGCTCAATATAAAAGGGAGACAATACAGCAACAATACAGTTCAATACAAGAGGGTTAAGAGGGCCCTGCTCCTTGGAGCTTACAATCTAAGAGGGATGGGATGGTGGTACAAAAGGTAATAACTGTGGGGGATGGACTGGCAGGAGGAATAGAAGTTTCCGTTATTAGCTGAAGGCAGAATAGGCTTCCCTGAAGAGAGCGGTTTTCAGAGGTCGCCTAAAAGTGGGCAGAGTAAGCGATAGTCTGATAGATTGGGGTAGAAAATTCCAGAGGATGGGGGAGGCTCTGGAGAAGTCCTGGAGACAAGTATGGGAGGAGGAGACAAGGGAGCTAGAGAGCAGGAGGTCATGCTAGAGAGCAGGAGATCATGCTAGGAGCGGAGAGAACAATTTGGGTGATATTTGGAGACAAGATTGGTGATGTAATTTGGGGCAGAGTTATAAATGGTTTTATATGTTATTGTAAATGTTTTGAGTTTTATGCGTTGGGCAATGGGAAGCCAGTGGAGGGATTGGCAGAGAGGGATGGCAGATATGGAACGGTTAGTAAGGTGGATGAGTCTGGCAGCAGCATTCATGATAGACTTAAAAGGGGATAGCCTGCGATGAGGTAGGCCAATGAGGAGGGAGTTACAATAATCAAGGCGAGAGATAACCAGGGAGTGAATAAGTTGCTTAGTAGTTTCTGAGGTTAAGAACGTGTGTATCTTGGAGATGTTGCAAAGGTGAGATTTACAAGATTTGGACAGTGATTGGATTTGGGGCTGAAAGGACAGATGGGAGTCTAGGATTACACCTAGTACCCTGTCATGCGGGGAGGGACTGATTGTTATATTACTTTTACCAGATAAGCACTGAGGCCAGTCAAGATGTGTGGCGGCCAGGCTATCACTTCCTATTTTTATAGCATGCTTTGGGTTGGGATGGACCTTTGCTCAGCCTGCACTCTCACT